TGTTACCAGAGATTATTTGTCACTTTTTTGAAGAATAAATTGTCCTTTCTTCTGCTCATTTTTTGTGTCACAGAATTACAGAAAATCACAACAGGCAAATGGACTTGTTAATGTTTATCGTATACATAAGAACATAAGAACTAGGAGCAGGAGTAGGCCATCTGGCCCCTCGAGCCTGCCCCGCCATTTAATAAGATCATGGCTGATCTTTGAGACTCAGCTCCACATACCCGCCCGCTCACCATAATCCTTAATTCCTTCACTGTTCAAAAATTTATCTCGCCTTGCCTTAAACACATTCAGTGAGGTCGCTTCAACCGCTTCACTGGGCAGGGAATTCCACAGATTCACAACCCTTTGCGTGAAGAAGCTCTTCCTGACCTCAGTCCTACATCTGCTTCCCTTTATTTTGAGGCTATGCCCTCTAGTCCGAGTTTCACCTGCGAGCAGAAACAACCTCCCTGCCTCCACCTTATCTATTCCCTTCATAATCTTATATGTTTCTATAAGATCTCCCCTCATTCTTCTGAATTCCAATGAGTATAATCCCAGTCTACTCAGTCTGTCCTCATAATCCAACCCTCTCAACTCTGGAATCAACCGAGTGAATCTCCTCTGCATCCCCTCCAGTGCTAGTATATCTCTTCTCAAGTAAGGAGACCAAAACTGCACGCAGTACGCCAGTTGTGGCCTCACCAGGACCCTATACAGCTGCAGCATAGCCTCCCTGTTTTTAAACTCCATCCCTCGAGCAATGGCAGACAAAATTCCATTTGCGTTTTTAATCATCTGCTGCACCTGCAATCCCACCTTCAGCGATTCATGCACAAGGACACCCAAAGTCCCTTTGCGCAGCAGCGTGCTGCAATTTTTTACCATTTAAAATATAGTCCATTTTTCTGTTTTTCCTACCAAAATGGATGACCTCACACTTATCAACATTGCACTCCATCTGCCAGATCTTTGCCCACTCACTTAGACTATCTATATCCCTCTGCAGACTTTCAGTGTCTTCTGCACACTTTGCTCTACCACTCACCTTAGTGTCATCTGCAAATTTTGATATACCACACTTCGTCCCCAAATCCAAATCATCTATGTAAATTGTAAACAACTGAGGTCCCAACACTGATCCCTGAGGCACACCACTAGCCACTGACCACCAATCAGAAAAACACCCATTTACCCCTACTCTTTGCTTTCTACTGTTCAACCAATCCTCTATCCATGCCAATACATTACCTGTAATACCGTGCAACTTTAACTTATGTAGCAGCCTTTGGTGTGGCACCTTGTCAAATGCCTTCTGGAAATCCAGATACACCACATCCACAGGTTCCCCATTGTCCACCATGCAAGTAATGTCCTCAAAGAATTCCACCAAATTAGTTAAACATGACCTACCCTTCATGAACCCATGCTGGGTGTTCCCAATGGGACAATTTATGTCCAGATGTCTTGCTATTTCTTCCTTAATGATAGATTCAAGCATTTTCCCTACTACCGAAGTTAAGCTCACTGGCCTATAGTTACCTGCTTTTTGTCTACCTCCTTTTTTAAACAGTGGCGTCACATTGGCTGTTTTCCAATCTGCGGGAACCACCCCAGAGTCCAGTGAATTTTGGTAAATAATTACTAGTGGATTTGCTATTTCCCCCATCACCTCTTTTCGTACCCTGGGATGCATTTCATCAGGGCCAGGAGACTTGTCTACCTTTGGCCCCATTAGCTTGCCCAGCACTGTCTCCTTAGTGATAATGATAGTTTCTAGGTCCTCGCCTGCTTTAACCTTCTTGCCATTAGTTTTCAGCATGTTATTTGTGTCTTCCACTGTGAAGACCGACACAAAATAATTGTTTAATGTCTCGGCTATTTCCTCATTCCCAGTTATTAAATTGGCCTTCTCATCCTCTAAAGGACCAATGTTTACCCTCACCACTCTTTTACAATTTACATATTTATAGAAACTTTTGCTGCCTGTTTTTATATTCTGAGCTAGTTTACTCTCATAATCTATCTTACTTTTCCTCATAACATTTTTTGTGGCTTTCTGTCGACCTTTAAAGATTTCCCAGTCTACTAGTTTCCCACTACTCTTTGCTTTTCTGTATGTGTTTTTTTTCAATCTGATACTTTCCTTTATTTCCTTAGACATCCATGGCTGGCTCTCTCTTTTCCTACAGTTCTTCCTTATCACTGGAATATACTTCTGCTGAGTACTGTGAAAAATTGTTTTGAAAGTCCTCCACTGTTCCTCAATTGACCCACCATAAAGTTTTTGCTCCCATTCTACCTTAGCTAACTCCTTCCTCATTCCTTCATGGTCTCCCTTGTTTAAGCATAGGACATTGGTACTGGATTTAACCTTCTCACGCTCCATCTGTATTTTAAATTCGACCATAGTGTGTTCGCTCCTTCCGAGAGGATCCCTAACTGTGAGATCATTAATTATTCCTGTCTCATTACACAGGACTAGATCTAGGGGAGCTTGCTCCCTCGTAGGTTCCATTACGTGAGCAATATCATAATTCATATTCCCACTCAGTACCCCGAACTTTTTATTGAGTGATATCATTTGGTTTATTCACTCATGTGATGTTGCTGTCACTGCCTGGCCCTAGTTGCCCTTGAGAAGACGTTGGTGAGCTGCCTTCTTGAACCACTGCAGTCCATGTGCTATAGATAGACCCGCGATGCCATTAAGGAGGGAATTCCAGGATTTTGATCCAGCGACACCGAAAGCATGGTGCTATATTTCCAAGTCAGGATGGAGAGTGGCTCGGAGACGAACTTAAAGCTGGTGGTGTTTGCATGAACCTGCTGCCATTGTCTTCCTGGAGTGGTAGTGGTCATGGGTTTGGAAGGTATAGTCAGCTTGATTCAGAATGCAAAATAGTAGTGGGGGAGTTAATTCTAATATTCTGACCAATATTTATTTATCAATCAACATATTAGAAAAATCGTAGGGAATTTAGGCATTGTTACATTATTGTCAGTATGAGCTTGCTATGCCCTCATTGGCTGCTGCATTTCTTATGTTGCACACTTCAAAGCACTGTAAAGCATTTTGTAACATCCCAAGATGCAGTGGATACCCGAAACTCTTTTCATATGTCCTCAGTCAGTCTGTTATTGAAATTATTCTTCGATGTTGGTATGGTCAAACATGGTAGATTTATGTTAAGTAAAAATGTACACTTGTCATTTTCTGTACTATTTATTATCTTCTATAATTCTGGATGGTGACTTTTCAGGTTGAAAAGTCCAACATTTTCTAATCTGTCATTGAAGTGCAATTCACTGCCACAGGATATAGGCTATAACAATCTGATACCTGATCCTCGTACAGATCCAAAACGTCAAATCTGATGGCTGTTTCCATTTTAAGTGGCAGGAGCTTAGTGCCTCTGAAGAGCAGATATGTCACTGGAACATTTCAGTGAGATTCCATATCTGAGAATTAGGAGTCCTTCGGGTTCCTCGGGGCTTTTGACACGGTTGGACCCAGCAGCTAACAGTACTGGTACTGTGGAGCAGGGGAGCAAGAGCGCTCCACTCAGTGGATCAATCATCATTCCACAATTGTACAACACCCACACCTCCCCTCCCCCGCTAACAATGCCCAAACCCGTGGATCCCTCTCGGTCATCCTTTTCTCCCCGGATATCAGTCCCTCTCTCCTTCTAACTCTTGACTGTTGGGATGTTTCCCTACTCCCATGGTCAACTGGTCAAACTCCGCGCCTGATTGGATGCCACGCAGGGCATTGAATTTTTTTAAAAATGGTAATGAGTTCCCGCCATTTAATTTGGCAGGATCTCTGCTCCCGACACATTCCCAGGTTTTATGTATTCACAGACGTTGACAACACAGGAGGCCATTCAGCCCATCATGTCCACACCAGTATTAACTCTGCAAGCACACTCCCCCCATCCCTGAAAATATTGGGGTCACCATGTGCGATGAAGTGTCACCAGGTGATATTGGAGAATTTAAGAAATCCTTAAAACTTAAATGATCTATTTTTAACTTCTTTCCTCACTCAGTTGTGTCAGAACAAAATCAAGGTGTTCCATACACCATGCTTATTTACTGCAGAAAGAGTAAATGTTGCTTCTAGAATTAAACAACTAACTCCATACGTGATCATAACTACCTTGAGGGAAACACAGATGCCTTCCTTTGTCAGTTCCAAATGTATCCAAGACAGTCACTTTTCCTTTATTGAGAAGAGATATTTCAGCTCATACACTGATTGAAAATGTTTCACCAAAAGCCTTTTCGACAAATGGGAGCCTAATATCCACGTGAAGCTTTTGGAAAATGTTATTCAATTAACATTGCTTATTAAATTTCAGACCTTTTAGGAAGAATGGACGGTGACATAAAGGCAAAGGAAACTGATGAACAGGAAGAAAATTCCATTCGACTTTAACTGCTTAATTTTAAATCATTTAATGAGAAGTAGCTTGCTGCTTAATTATTAGTATTTCAAAATATAGCTTATTACATTGCTGCTCAAGATATTGTCACTGCTCAACAATGTCTGGTATGTGAACTAAATGTAGCAAACTGATTCATACAACAAATCAATGTAAACGCAAAGAATAAATGAACATTGTTGTCTAACTTTGTGTCACAGAAGCTCTTTTAGTTCAGTAAAATAAAAAGAGAAACTCGATTTTCTGGTCTGTTAGTTATCTGTGAGATTTCTCATGAATCCTGGAGCTATCACAATGCGCAGCAAGTCAATAAAATTGAGTGGAATGTCTTCCTTCATGCATTATCATCAAAACCTGCGCTGAGTTGCCACAATTTCCAGCTCCAGATCTGTTCTCTGTTCATTAGGAGGTCATGAGGCCACTGATGGTCACACAACCATTGGATGAGCTCATGAGCTCAATGAAATTGTACGCTACACTGGCACTGAGGCCCAGGCAGCAGCAGCCTCTGCCTGTGTCTTCCTCTTCTCTCTGTCTCAGTCTGAAGTGTAACAGAGGAAAGAGATGGGTCTGGCGGGTGGGTGAGGAAGATTCATAAATATCTTGTGATAGCTGCAGTCCCTGAATTAGAAGTTTTGTGCGTGCATTAAGAAAGGGAGAGCCGGGTCCCCATTGGATAAATAGGCAGTGTGAGACTCACTTGTTCGTATATATCTAAAGCAGTCTAAGGTCATACACATGCTTCATATTAAAGTGCACATGCCTTCTGGTATTAATTTTGCTCAGGTCTTAAAGAATCCGTTAGGCACATTCAGTCTCACAGTGCAAGGTGTCAATAAAGAAGTGTGATAGTAGAAAAGGAATTGAAGAGACTTAGTTATGAAGAGAAGGCAGCTACAGGGACAGAGTATGTGTGAAAAACCCATAACCTGAGATATTACAGACTGTATCAGAGATAGTAGGAACTGCAGATGCTGAAGAATCTGAGATAACAAGGTGTAGAGCTGGATGAACACAGCAGGCCA